CGATAAAAATTTCAAATGGTCCTATCTGCTTTGATCGATTCTCTTCATCGACTTTCTCTTTTCATAACCACTGCTATGCAAACAGATTTCGTGCTAATTCTACCACATAGTTTGATAAAGGAGGTTCTTATCTAGCGTCCGAAACGTCAAATACAACAGGGAAAGGTTTTGCCTAGGAGCAAGATAGCTCCTAATCATGAGCAATTTCTGAGTTGCTTTTGATGCACCTCGAGTAACTCACATTGCTCAGTGAGACACTGTCATTTGCTTTCTTACTTTTCGCATCACAGCAACACATGAAGGTGCATCTTCTTGCTAAGCCGAAAATCTGCTGTCAATCAAAACGACCATGAAAAAAACATATTTACAGAACTCAATAACTCAGCGAAACTCGGATACACTTAAATTGATTGATTTGATTATTCTGCATCAACGTTCGTTCAACTGTGAACGTGAACGGAACCTATTGCTGCCTAGCTGCCTTACACAACTTACCAAGGACGAATGCTTGTCCCAGTTGATATGGTGGAAATACTCAATCTGCCTGACCAAATATTCAAAATCCGGCAAATTACGTACCCCGCACGTACTACAATAATCGTCGAAGCAATCCCGTTCCCATGGCTTGGCAAACTGAATGAAATGGCTTGGCTGGTTGAAACTGCGAACCGAGTTTGAATTACCTCTGTGCCGTTCTACTGACTGTTGACATCCATTATTCCTCTTTTGGTGCTTCTGATGTGCCTTCCGGATGATCGTGATACGGTCCCGTTTACCGTGATTTTACTGCGGCCGTCGACGGCAGTCTCCTTTAAAGTAGAACATCACTACATACGTGTGTTCTTCGGTTTCTCGTTGGCTAAGTCCATAGCGGCCCAGGTGTAGAATTTGTTGTTCGTCTCCATCTGTTTTATGAACAGCGCTGAAGATATTGACTGTTTGGTAGCGATCTTGTGAACTTGATCACGTCTCATGACGATCCTGTACTTGGTCTTAACATGGCCGTGGGAATGCAAAGAGAAAGGCGACGAGATAATCTGTCAGCTTGATTTGTTCTTCGTCTTCCTGATCGGGTTTCACTTCGATTTCGTCCGGTTGATCGTTGATGGGTTTGAGACGAGGATCGCACTCACCGGAAACATTGGTAGCGGTTACTTCAATGTCCTCCTCCTCTTCGGGGGTAATGGTTGGTAGCGTTGCCGTCGAAGCTGGAATTGGGTGTTAATCGGTTGTTGCCCCACCGGGAAGATGTTTTCTGAATCGGAAACTGTAGTGGCGGATTTTATTGGAGGGGGGCCACGGTTGGAATATTGCTCACCTCGCTATGTTTGATGTGCTGTGATCGAATTTTCACGCTCTAGCTAACTTGCATGGTGCTAATCTGAGGGAGAGTCGCGAAGAGAGAAAAATGGAACGTCAAATGCAGCCAGACGGCTGCTGTCACGAATTGTCATTTCAAGAGCAAATTTTCATTACGTCGAATGTAACAAAGGTAAACAAAGTCAAGCTATCAGTGTCAATCGCTACTGCTATTACACTATATACTGTCCGAATATAGGATCACATCCCATTTTTAAATTCATTTACCAGTCGAATTGCTTTTTGACGTAATCACCTTCCGATCAAAATATTTTTCGATGTTACTTAAGTCACCCGATTTCTATGGAGATGCCGTTTGCCTTAAGTAACAGCACTGAGAAACCCGTGAAAAGTGTACTTTCGTCGTTTCGCTTTCTCATTATTAAATTGAATAAATTGAACTGTTTGTTGCTAAGATGATTTCGGTGGTCCTAAAATGATTAATGGGCTGCACCTAAGGAGACGTAATTGATAATTCTCCCGAATATCCTGGTAAATACACTTTGACTTAAGTAACAATAGGGGCCACCAAACGACGTATAATAACTTTTGACTCAAAAACCAGTATTTCTTAGCATGAAAGCTAGCGATTTGCCTTTGTATGATTAAAACCCGGCTAAATATGTTAAACATTGCTATCACTATGAGATTAGATGTGTTTAATTGGAAATAGGAATAACTTTTTGGTCATCAAAACAAAACTTTATTTTTCTCGGATCGGTGCGAATGTTACTTACGACATAATGAAAATTTGCTCTTGATTTGGAGCCAAGCAATTTTATGATGCTTTTCTTACAGTTGAACAAGAATACACAAGGCGGTATTGAAATCTTGCGTAAAGTAATTTGTGACAAACTGTCGTTTCCAGCTATTTTATTCAATGGGACACAGTTTCTTTTTAATTCATTCAAAATACACACAAATCAATATTGAAAGATACCATTAGCCAAGGTTTTGTCAAAACATCTAGTGGCATAGTAAAATACCAAACAGAAAAGTACAGTATCTCACTGCACACTGAACAATCTCAAACAATCACTACACGCTCAAAACAAAACACACTATTTTGCTACGCCTGTTTTGATTTGATTTCAACGGCACAAATTTTCATGACAAGCAGAACAAGTATACAATGAATTCCGTGTGTGCTATCTGCTTCTCCCTCCCAGGTGCTAACGAGAAGGGGATCGGAGTTAGTTATTACCATTATCAATGGGACTATTGTTACGACTACTGGATCAATCGATGCTGATGGGATCGTTGCATTACAGGTGAAATTCCAGATGTTTAGAAGAATAGCTGTTTGGAGAGCTTGTTTGATCAGCGATGATCCTTTTGAAGTGACAACTGGGACTGGCTGCTGAGAAGGAAGAACAACTGCTTAAAGCTGGCTGGAACTGTAACTTTTGCTGGTAGTAACCTGGCACCGGCACAGGTTCTTCTATAAAATTCAAGCTATTCGAAAGCCTCAGGATACACTTGGACTTACTTTGTTTACAAACAAAACTGACGTCTAATATGAGAAGCATATTCTTAAAGGGAGTAAACGGAGTAGGCAGAGAAAAAAAATCGATGAACGTCGATTAAACATTGCGGTACATTGAGTTACTCGCGAGTTACTCGCTGCATAAAAGTGACTCAGAGTAAATCTGTCTCTGAAAGTCGATGAAGAGAATCGATCAATGCAGATAGAACCTTTTGAAATGTTTATCTTATGCTCGACATGGGATGACGATCAATTTATATGTCTGTTTATTTTTCCTCTGTCAATGATTGTACCACATGACAGATGTTAGTGATATTGCGAATGGGTGAGAAAAGCAAAATAACGATATCTCACGGTTGTTGTGTCATACTGGTGAGAAGTTTTACGGAGAGACGGTTCTCAGTCGATTTGATTATTAACCGTAGGAATCTCTTTTGTCAATCTAAAGGCTGTCAGTACCGTGCTGCAACTCAGCACTGCGCTTGTGCAGTGCGCCTTTTCCGCTTCCTCTGACTTTCCGCTTGGGCACCAATCTGTCACAGTATGAATGTTGAGTGGGATTCAAACCACTTTCATTGAATGATGTATATTTTTTGAATCTCTATGATTCTTAACAAAAAGTCACATAACCAGTAACCACACTTTGAACACCACAAACCAAAGAAGCATATTCAATAATTTCAACTAATCAGTACGATTGGAGTGCCAATTTTAGCAAAATAAACAATTTCTAAGCACACGTGTAAACTTCATTCCACTACCACTCACGCAAATCTCACTCAAGTGATTCATCGAGAACGGGCAATGGTTCTGGACTTTCCTATCCTTCCCTTCGCTATCCGGTTGACAGTGTACGCAACTTTCAAAGCAGCACTCTTAAATCAGCTTGCTCAAAAGGGGCTCTTTTTCCTTTCTTTCCTTTCCTTTCCTTTCCTTTCCTTTCAATCCTGTGTATTTGTGTGTGTGGAATCTAGTTCTCTTTCAACTGCTCTTACGTCTATCACAGTGTCTAAACACCTTTCGCTCATTTTCCAAGACTTTCTCAATCGCGATTCTCGCCTTCTGTCCCCCTATCTCTCTCTCTCTGTCTCATTGCCGCACATCTATTGTGTTGATGTCGTTTGCTTCGTTTGTCGTTCCGTTCGTTGTCGTTGTACTTCTTTCTTTTATTTTTGTTTTGTTTTTCTTTTTTATCTCTTTTCTCCCTCCCGTTGTAGGCCCGATACTGTTCGATCTGTGCACACTCGACCAAATACCTGCATGAGTTGCCGGTCAATCTAATCAAACTGTTGCTTGAACTGTGGCTCGCCCTGGTGCGCCGGTTTACCATTCTCAAGTGGATACTCAAGTTGTTCCAGTGGCCGGCCCTGCTCATCTACCGGTTGATCAGTGTGCCGAGCTACGATCAGTTGAATTTTATGTAAATACAACTTATTTTTTTCTCTTGTTTTCGTTAGTTTTTGGTTTATTTTATATTTATATATGTAAAGATTTTATCCTATCTCTCTAAATCTATTGTATAGCGAAATAAAAACGACAGTTCTTTCCATTAAGTAAAATAAACAAATATCGAAGCAGGCGCGATGCGCGCCTGCTTCGGTGGAGAAAGGTGACGCGACAAGTGCCAAAACTGAATGTTGATTAGTCAAAGCGAAAGATGCATTTCCTAACCTATAAGTTCAAATTGAAAGTAGTTTTTTGTCCAGTGGAGCGAGCTCAAGTGTTGGTACTTACTAACTTATTTATTGCTATTTAGGAAGTGGAGACATTTCGGAATGGAAAACTGCGGAACAAACTAATGTGATATTTTTAATCGTATTTCGGAGTCAACTTTTACTGTAGATTGTTTTTTTTTCTTGTGTACAGAAATTAAAAAAAAGACATTCGATGTACTTAAGTAGCTAGAAACCCAGTTTACTAATAATAATGTTAAAGCTTGGTTGTAACTTGCCTGAAATAGAATCTTGTTTACACACATTTGTACAAACGTTCTTTATTTGCTCCCTAGTGTAGAATTGTAAACAAAGCCGAATCCAGCTGCAGCGCTTCTTGTCAATACCTCTCACTCTCTCTCTCTCTCTCTCTCTCTATCTGTATGAATAGTAGCGACCGTTCGGTTTTGTATGGCGAGAAACTAACCTCACTTTCTTTGCAGACTTCTTCTCCTAAGCCAGATACCCTGGATCTGTCGGTCGCTAGTTCAAACAATCCATACCGGGAGCTGGTGGAGAAGTATGAGGCACTACTGGAGGTCCAGAGGAATTCGGTGAACCGCAAACCGAGCGGCGTCGGTACGGGAACGGGTGGCGGATTGCCACCGAATTCGGTTTCGGCTGCACAGCAGCCACAGGACGGAGCTCCTCAGCATCATCACCATAATCACCACCACGAAGAGCTCGGTTCCGGTGATTTCAGTTCGCTGAATACCAAGTTTACGGACGAGGACGGCAGCAAGAAGGACGATCAGAGCAGCAACGGAACGCGGCGGAAGATTGGGCTGCGTACTCCGACGGACTTTTCCGAAGCGGAGACGACCAGTTCCGGCTTCTCGGACGAGATCAGCAACAAGGCTACGCAGACGGATGAACGTCCGAGGAACTTTTTGTGCACGATTGCGGACGGAGAGGATTGTAAGTTCAGTATCTACGAGGACCAGACGGTGATCGATTCGAGGTTCCGGTTCAGCCCGTCGCACCGGGACCTGTTCCGTGAGATTTTCACGATCCTGAAGAAGGCTGCGGACAATCGAGACGAGGGGGAACAACTCCCGCTGTTGGATGATCAAAACCCGCCGGCGTCGAAGGCGGTGACGGCACCGAAGGTTCCACCGGTGACTCCGGCGAATGAGGAGCCTCCGAGCGAGTTCGGAGACGATACGCAGAGTGTGATTTCGTCGGCCGTTTCCGAGCAGTCATTTGCCATGTCCGAATGCATTACCAAGTCCGAGAGGAAGAAGATTGAGAAGCAAACCAAGTACGCGGAGAAGCACGGCGAACAGGAGAACAAGCCACCGGTAGGTGTCGCTGCACTGCCAGATGGACGGATCTTGACTCCGTACAAGCGTCAGCCGCTTGAATACCTCAGTGTTGCGGTGGGCGTCAACAAGAAGAAGTCTCGCCGCCGTCGCAACCGTGGCTCAGGATCGGACAGCATGGATCGCTCGGATTCACCGATTGCTCTTCCAACTCCTACGCGGGCTTACACCAGCACTGGCAAGAAGGGACGTAGCTCGTTCCGCCCGTGGAACCCGAACGAACCGGTTGGCAGCCCGACTGGTAACTCCTCCGCGGCCAGCGCTTCCACAACAGCAGCAGCAGCAGCCAGCGAATGGAACGGCAACTCGATGACCATCTACAACCGCAGCGTCAACTCGCCAACCCCGAACACCTCCTCGCAACGCAGCGACCAAAGCTTCCGCAATTTGACCACTGGTGGCAGCACCAGCAGCAGCAGTGCCAACCGTAACGTCAGCACTGCCGGAAGCGGCAGCAACCGCTTTGCCGACCTTGTGGACGAAAACGGCGATGTGGTCCAGTTCAAGCCCTCCTCCGCCAGCCAGGATCTGCACAAACTCAAGAAGCTGGATCTGTCCTACGCGGAAGTGCTGCGCCGGGCCGACCACTGCAAGCAAACACAGCGGCGTCAGCAGCAGCAGCATCACCACCACCATCACAACAAGTAAGCATGAGCTTGAGCGCGACGCAGGTAGGTGATTTTGAATGTGTTTGTGTCAACAGATCAACACTGTCGAAGAGTCTTGTTCATATATGTTTTTTTTAAGAAATTGTGACGACCACGTGCAAGATTAGCGTTAGGGACAGTGAGGAAGCAACCATATTTTTGCATCAGTTTTCAACTAAACTAACTTCCTAAAATTTTATATTCGAATTCCAAACTCAAACGAACATTTGACAAACGTAAGCAAATAAAGCAAACCAACTAAAGAAAACAGTATTACGATGTTTGCGAGCAACCGGAAAATGCGCTTCGAATTACTTGAACTTCTTTCTTGATCGCGGTTGACCTGTGCCGCTACGAAGCAGACATAACCACACTTTTCATCCCGGTGACAGTTGCTGTTGTAAACGAACGGTTTCCATGCAGCAATGTCTTGCTTCTTTGAAAACAAAAACAGGAAACAAGATGCGAATGAAAATGAAACATCACACTCACAAACTATTTATCTGAAAAAAAAAAAATTGCACGAAAGTTAAGGTTAGAAACAAAGAGAAAACGTACGCCATATTGATTAGTTTGTTTGTGGTCGGTTGAGATTCGAAAGTGGGCGCGACGACGGGAGATGTCCTGTGTGACAGCAGCGCGCCGCATGTTATTTAAAGCGGGCTAAAGTTTGATAATTATTAGAGTTTAGAACCTAGCGAGAACCATTTATTTAGCAATTGTTAACTATTTAGCTTTTAAATTGGCAGCCACAACAAAATCGCGTTTGAAAACTATTATTTTATTGAGTAGACAAAGTAACAAAGTAGGCTTCTTTTCTGGTTATTGTCATTATTATTATTATTATTATTATTATTACGATTAAGGCAGCAGCGTTGGAGATTGCCGGGATTTGTTGACCTTACTTTGATCCTTAGTTTTCAAAAGCGATTCGGGAAGCTGTGGACAACAAAGTGAGGTTAGGAATCGCGACATTTGCCTACAGCGACCATTTTTGCGCTTCGTTCTTTATTGAATTTCTTAACTTTTGACAAGTCTGATGATGGGAGAATGAATGTGAATGAGATTGCGAGAGCGAGAATGGAGAGTGCCGAGCATTCGAAGTAGTAAAAAAAAAACAATACCCATTTAGGAGATAAAAACCAACCAACTACTTACTCAAACACACAACAAAAGACATTTAAGCAAACAAAATACTTATTTTCTATTCCCTCCCTTTCACAACATAACAAACCAAACAACAAATGAAAAAGAAGGAAACCGAGGGGAGAAACTTACTAACCCTTGCATTACAACCAGTTCAAAACTTGACTAATTCGTTCCACAAATATATTCGAAACAAAAACAAACTTATGTAAACAAACAAACGCAGCGCGCAGGGTTGCTTCTAACTTAATGATATGAAAACAAACTAATAAACAAACAAACAAGTCAAAGCTCAATGTAGAAACATAAAACACACGATGTTTACAGTACACACAAAATGGAAAAGAGATGAATTCCTAGCAAAACTGCAGACTTACAGAAGGGGCGCCATTCTGCTGCAAAAGGGGATACCAATAATCATCCCTCTCAAGATCGCATGGGACGTAGTTTAGAATAGAGGCTGGGAATCAAACCAACCCGACCTATAACGAACGAATGACCGAATTAAAAAAAAAAACTAAAACGGAACGCGAGCAAACTGTAAATGTAGAAATTCAGTAATAAAACAAAAGACAGATGTGTAAAAACCAAAAGTAATGGAACATCGTTGCCCTGTTTTGAAACTGGTCTGAAACTGAGCCGAAAATCCTTGGAAAACCAAACAACTTGTTATGCACACTTTATTTGAGCAAAATTCATGGACAGGAAAAGAAAACATTTACACAAAACATTTATTCATTTTTACACTTCACAATTCTATTGCTTTACATGCATCATTCTCTCCGGTCACGAGGGGGGTTAAAAAAATATACAGCGGCTCTATTGATCAAATCTTCTTCTGTTCTTCGTCGCAATTTACATACTCTTCTGGCTTCTTTCCTCGTTGTGGAATAAACTAATAAAAAAAAAAACGGCAAGTTTCACACTTCTCTGTGTGTTGTTCGTTCCTTCGTAGTAGGGTGATTGTTGTAACAAAACGTCAAAATCAAAAGTAAAAGTCCATCGGCGTAGGTCCAATTCGTGATCCATTTCTCTTCTCCGAAAACAGCGCAAATCTAGTAACAGCGACACCGATCCGTTGGGCACTTGGACTTGTACGTCAGGCACTCGTCCATACAGTACACGTCGGCTCCTTCGCGGCCCTCGATTTCGCCGATGGCTTCGCAGGTTTGGCTGGAAAGATCGAGGTGCAAAAGAAGTCGATTAGTTTTCGCAACACCGAAGACTACATATCAAGAAGATTGGCAACTCTGACGGAGATGGCATAGTTGGTCTTCCTGATATGTTATCTTTGATAAAATTCGCACGGCCGTAGAATCTGACTTAACGTTGAGAGCCACTCGTTCAGTTTCGAGCTAAATTTGGTCGAATATGAGTGACATTTACTGAAATTCCGTCAGACTTTTACCTTCTACTCAATCTATGAGTAACCTCAAACTTAAGTCAATTTCGAGTGGATTTGCTATCTGCTTTGATCGATTATCTTATTCGACTTTCTCTTTTGATAACCACGACTATACACCGCCAATCAGAACGACTCAGCGACTGAATTCAATTGACTCAGAACATTTTCTTTCCATACGAAATTTACTCATATTTGGGAAAACCTGCAGTTTCTCATTATCTATGAGTTCGTTCCTGCAGGTTTTCCCAAATATGAGTAAATTTCGTATGGAAACAAAATGATCTGAGTCAATTGTTGGAGGCTAATTAGCCCCAGGCTGAAAGCCTCCTTAATAAGTCAATAGTTTGATAAAGGAGAATCTCATCCAGCATCCAGAATATCAAATTCATCGGTCAATACTTTTGCAACTGAGTTATTAACGAAAGAGAAAGACGATGAAGAGAATCGATCAAAGCCGATAGGACCTTTTGAATTGTTCATCTGTTGTTTTTTTGCCATCGGGGAAAATACTTACGGGCAGTGACACACCGATTCGGGACAGTTAGGCGGATAGCGAAGGCAATTGCTCTGGCACCAGTCGTCCATACCGATGAAGACACGATAGGCCCTAGTTGGGAGGCACACTTGATCGCTGTGGAAAAGAAAAAAGAAAAAGATTATTAAACTATGATATTAGAATTAACTTCAAAAGCGAATCCGTATGGACACAGAAGACATGTCGGGCAGGTTCAAAGGTCATTTAAGTTTTTTCTAGCAGTGCTATATTCTTGAAAACCTCCCTAAAAGCCCCTGAAATCCAGCTGATCTCTCTCAGATCTCTTTTAAAGTAAAGGTAGGAATTTTTCGAACTTCCCCTAGAATTATTAATCCTATATACAGAGATTCGCGGAAATATTATTAGACGATTTGGAAACGTGAGTTGCTTTGTTTACAAAAGCTGCCATCACTTGCCGCAGAGCAAAATATTCCAGCTTGGTGCATGATTTTATCGTTTTCTACACTCAAAAAATATTGAAATCTAAATAGTATAAAAGTTACGCTAAATCTCAACCCTCCGTACCGACGCAAAGGTCGCTATAAAGGGAAAGAATGCAAACTTAGTATAAAAATGGTTTATGCCTGCCATAGTATGAAAATATTTATTATGAAAAACACGTACAGTTTTGAAATGTTCATTTGGGCGAACTTGCACTAACGCAGTCTAACCAACAATCAATACGAAACTAACGATTTTAAATTGGCTCACTACTTGACTAGCCTATTGGTCCCAAGCAAATCGATTAACGTACCCCATTCTAGTCAAAATTCTAGTCCTACACTATGTTTGTGTTGATTCGCTATGAAAGTTTGACAGATAAAATGAGGGGTTAGTGGATTTTCCTATGTTTCGAGGGGTGAATCGATTAGCTTGGGACCGAAGAGAGTATCAGAGCTGAGCCAAAAAGTTGATCACGAGGTAACTCTAAGACTAGAAGGTCCCGAAATAACGCGCTCAACTTTTTGGCTCAGCTCTGGTACTCTCTTCGGTCCCAAGCTAATCGATTCACCCCTCGAAACATAGGAAAAACCAATAACCCCTCATTTTATCTGTCAAACTTTCATAGCGAATCAAAACAAACATTGCGTAGTACTAGAATTTCGACTAGAATAGGGTACGTTAATCGTTTGCTTGGGACCAATAGGCTACTAAAGTGGTGAGCCAATTTAAAATCGTTAGTTTCGTATTAATTGTTGGTCTAACTAAAGAAGAACTAACTGTCTAAAGGCCCAAACGCAATATGGACGGAAGCGGAACGGAAACGGAAAGTTTGACAGTTGTCACAAATGACATCAAGATGCCTAACCGAAGTCGATTTGGTTCTAACTAGTTTGCAATCCGACAAGTAGGCTTACTCAGATCAGGCTTTTCCGCTGCCGCTGCCGTTCCGCTTCCGCTGTCATCACGCTTGGGCCTTAACTGATACCATGCGTAGTCAAAATCCAGCTTATCGACCGGGACTTTCGTTAGTCAAAGCTCTCCACCAGATCCCGACGCGTTCTCACCATATGCGAGCCCAATAAGTCCGACCCACTGTCCTCATATTTGGTAGTATTATCGGCACAGCGCCACCAATCTGATAAAGCTTGCGGTGTTTTAATGCGTTGAGTACATAGTAAGGGAATTAGGGGCGCTAACGATAGTGCGTTTTTATATGCGATTCCGTGAATATTTATATGGGTTTGTGCACCGAATTGTAAGTTTATAACCTTGTCTCCATGTTATATCATTGAAATTAAAATTAAACCCCATAGAAAACACGTTGAGGATTTTTTTCAAAATGTCACGTCGTACGTGCTCTAAAAAATGCTTAGGGGAAAAAGGGCCACTCTTATGGCGGCCACATATCCTTCGCCCAGAACGGAAGATGTTCGACGGGATCGACGGTAAACATGCTGTGGTCGGTGTACAGGATTACCGGATTTTTCTTGCTTAAGGAAGTTCAAGATTTACTTGCATCGTTCGACTCGTTTTCCGTGCCCTCGACTTCGCCCCACAATCTTACTTTACTTTACTGATCCCGTGTTCCTTTGCCATTTTCCTTTATTGAACGCACTGGATTCACCAGAATCTTCCTTTTGATAGCAGCGATAACCCTCGGAACCCGAGCTGACCTCGGACGACCTGTGGCCACCTTCGCGGATAGTTGTCCTGTCTTTTCTCGGTCTAAAACCCTTTTGACGGTCCACCGGGACACTCCCACGGCGATTGAAATGTCTTTTTGTGACATTTGCGCGGGGGACAAATCACGAATACGCTGCCACTTCGTCATGGTGCAACTGTCAAACTAAGTAAATAATTTTCTTCTATACACAGCCTACTACTATAGGTTAAATGCGTGCAAAGAAAACCAATGCACAGGTGAAACGGGAACCTTATTTGTACGATGGTGCAAACATTATCACACATACGTTTTACACGAGGTTTTCTCGGGAACTAGAGATTACATCCATTGAGCAAATTACGGTCTGCCACCGGGAATATAGAATGATCTGGATACTGTAACGATCAATTCCTCTCAAGCGATGGTTTTTACTTACTTACCTTACCAATCAGGCTAAGGCCTTGTTGTCCTCTGCTGTCCGAAGAAGTCGTCTCCACGCTACTCGATCCATGGCCACAGTTCGCCAGCCTCGTAGTCTGCGAAGGGTCCGCAGGTCACCTTCTACTTGGTCGATCCACCTTGCCCACTGCGCGCCTCTTCTTCTTGTTCCTGTTGGGTCGCTTTCTAGAACCATTTTCACTGGGTCGTCGTGCGGCATTCTTACGACGTGCCCAGCCCACCGTAGTCGCCCAATTTTTGCAATGTGGATGATGGATGGTTCTCCCAGCATCTGGTGCAATTCGTGGTTCATTCGCCTCCTCCACGTTCCGTCATCCATCTGCACTCCACCGTAGATGGTACGCAACACCTTCCGTTCGAAAACACCAAGGGCGCGTTGGTCCTCCACGAGCATAGTCCAGGTCTCGTGGCCGTAAAGGACCACCGGTCTAATCAGCGTCTTGTAGACAGTCAACTTCGTGCGGTGGCGAATTTTATTCGACCGGAGCGTCCTCCGGAGTCCAAAGTAGGCACGATTCCCTGCCATAATGCGTCTTTGAATTTCTCTGCTGGTATCATTTTCGGTGGTCACCAGTGAGCCCAAATACACGACCTCATCGACCACCTCGATTTCGTCACTGTCAATTTGAACTCGGGGTGGGAGGCTAACATTGTCTTCCCTAGAACCTCTTCCTTTCATGTATTTTGTCTTTGATGCGTTGATGGCAAGTCCAATCCGTCTAGCCGTTTCCGCCATCATCTCAAAGTTCCTTGCCATAATGTCAATGTCATCGGCGAAGCCAAGGAGCTGGATGGACTTCCTAAATATCGTGCCACTCGTGTCTATCCCAGCTCTTCTGATCACACCTTCCAACGCGATGTTGAACAGCAGACACGAAAGTCCATCACCCTGCCGTAATCCCCTTCGAGATTCAAAGGGACTCGAGAGTGTCCCCGATACTCGAACAACGCACATCACTCGATCCATCGTCGCCTTGACCAATCATGTCGGTTTATCCGGAAGTCCGTACTCGTGCCATAGCTGATCTCGATCGATTGTGTCGTATGCGGATTTGAAATCGATGAACAAATGATGTGTGGGCACGTTGTATTCGCGGCATTTCTGCAGAACCTGCCGAATCGCGAAAATTTGGTCCGTGGTAGCGCGGGCACCCATGAATCCCGCCTGGTATTGCCCCACGAACTATCTTGCATATGGTGACAGACGGCGGCATAGAATTTGGGAGAGTACCTTGTAGGCGGCGCTCAGCAGTGTGATCGCGCGGTAGTTGCAGCAATCCAACTTGTCGCCCTTTTTGTAGATTGGGCATACGACACCTTCCATCCACTCCTCCGGTAATATCTCCTCCTCCCAAATCTTGGCAATTACCCAGTGCAGCCAGTGCTTCACCACCGTATTTCAATAGCTCACTTGGTAGTTGATCTACACCAGTTGCTTTGTTGTTCTTCAGCCGACCGATCTCCTCCTCAACTTCTTGAAGATCAGGGGCCGGTAGCCTGTCGTCTTCTGCGCGTGCTCCAAGGTCTGTTGCCGTGCCACCTTCGTTTTCTGCTGCTTCACCGTTGATGTGCTCGTCATAGTACTGCTTCCACCTCTCAATCACCTCACACTCGTTCGTGAGAAGGTTACCGTCCAAGTCCTTGCACATATCGGCTTGCGGCACGTAGCCTTTGCGCGAACTATTTAGCTTCTCGTAGAACTTCCGTGTGTCGTTTACGCGGTACAGATTTTCCATCGTCTCACGATCTCGGTCTTCCTGCTGACGCTTCTTCCTTCGGAATACCGAGTTTTGTCTGTTCCGCGCTTGTCTGTATCGCTCCACATTCAATCTCGTGCGGTGTTGCAGCATTCTCGCCCGTGCTGCATTCTTCTCCTCTACTAGCAGCTTGCATTCGCCGTCAAACCAGTCATTTCTTCGGTCCGGGATCGCAGTACTTAGTGCAGCTGCGGCAGTACTACCTATGGCTGAACGGATGTACCTCCAGCCATCTTCAAGAGAAGCTGCGCCAAGCTGCTCTTCCGTGGGTAGTGCAACTTCCAGCTGCTACGGGTAGTCCTGGGCAACTCCGGCGTCCCGTAGCTGCTCAATGTTGGGTCGCGGCGTTCGACTTCGACGGGTGTTATGCACCGTCGAGAGTTTTGAGCGCATGCATGATGCATACTGCAACTAGGTAGTGGTCCGAATCTATGTTCGCACTGCGGTACGTGCGGACGTTGATAATATCGGAGAAGAATTTCCCGTCGATTAGAACGTGATCGATTTGGTTTTCTGTGTGTTGGTCAGGTGATCTCAAGGTGGCTTTGTGGATATCCTTGCGGGGGAAAAAGGTACTTCGAACTACCATACCCCAAAAGGCTGCAAAGTTCACGCATCGTTGGCCGTTGTCGTTCGATACGGCATGCAGGCTGTTTGGCCCGATTGCCTGGTAGGACTGAGCGTTCATGTCGCCGATGACGATTTTGACGTCCCGTTGCGAACAGCCGTCGTACACCTGCTCCAGCTGCGCATAGAACGCTTCTTTCTCGTCG